CCTCCCTCCCTCCCTCCCTCCCTCCCTTCCTTCCTTCCTGGCGTGCAGTGGTGCATCTCACTGCAACCTCTACCTGCCGGACTCAATCGATTCTCCTGCCTCAGCTTCCTGAGTAGCTGGTATTACAGGCATGTGCCAGCATGCCTGGCTAGTTTTTGGTTTTGGTGTTGTTGTTGTTTATTTTTATTTTGTTTGTTTGTTTGAGACAGAGACTCACTCTGTCGTTCAGGCTGAAGTGCAGTGGAGCGACCTCGACTCACTGCAACCTCTGCCTCCCAGGTTCAAGTGATTCTCCTGCCTCAGCCTCCTGAGTAGCTGGGACTACAGGTGCGGGCCACCACGGCCGGCTAATTTTTGAGTTTTTAGTAGAGACGAGGTTTCATCATGTTGACCAGGCTGGTCTTGAACTCCTTGACCTCAGGTAATCTGCCCACCTCGGCCTCCCAACGTACTGGGATCACAGGCGTGAGCTACCACGACTGGCCCCAGAAGTATTTCCACATGAAAAATTTCCTTAGCCCTTCTCCAGTTGTCATGGCTTAATGTGCGTCTTTCCAGAACTTTGAATGTTTACATACTTGTGGATGTATCTGTCAAATATGTTTGTCTTGTGATTTATATATAAATGGTGTTGTGTTCATTGTTCTACAAATTGTTATTTCTTTTTTAAAAAACAAAATTATGGAGATGGGGGTCTCACTAGGTTGCCCAGGCTGGTCTTGAGCTCCTGGACTCAAGCCATCCTGCTGTCTTGACCTCCCAAAGTGCTGGGATTACAGGTGTGAGCCACTGTGCCTGGCTCATTCCTTTTTTAGTCTTTAGTCTTTCTTTTCTTTATTTTATTTTTTTCTGTGTGTGTGTGTGTGACAGAGTCTCGCTCTGTTGCCTGGGCAACTAGAGTGCAGTAGCAAGATCTCGGCTCACTGCAACCGCTGCCTCCTGGCCTCAAGCCATTCTCGTGCCTCAGCCTCCCAAGCTGCTGGGATCATAGGTGTACCCTACCATACCTGGCTAACTTTTGTATTTTTAGTAGAGATGGGATTTTTGTCATGTTGCCCAGGCTGGTCTCAAGCTCCTGGCCTCACAAGATCTGCCCATCTTGGCCTCCCAAAGTGCTGGGGTTACAGACGTGAGCCACCACACCCACCCTTTTATTTATTATGATTTTTTGAGATGGAATTTCGCTCTGTCGCCCAGGCTGGAGTGCAGTGGCGCGATCTCGGCTCACTGCAAGCTCTGCCTCCCGGGTTCATGCCATTCTCCTGCCTCAGACTCCCGAGTAGCTGGGACTACAGGCGCCCGCCACC